AAAAAAAAATTATCTTGCAAATCTGTACGCTATATATGTAATGGACCTCTTGCTAAGCCTGTCCCTGGGATATTTTTGCTAAGGTCACACAAATGCTGTAAATCATGTGTAAACATGCATATATGTACGTTTATGTATGTTTACATATGTATTTGTGTGACCTGGGTGTAATCATGTTCTGTTCTGATTGGTTAGTTTGAATAACACTTCGTAATGGTCCATTTGCCAATCTTTTTGAAAATCAGCTGCCAGCTTCGTCTCACTGTAGACTTCGCAAAGTTTAAATGTTAATAAATTTCTTTGCTAATATCTGTATAAATTGTTTATCCAGTTCTTGTTTTTAACCCCAAATTTGTTTTAATTTTGTAAACATTTTGTGCCTTGTAGTGCTATCAGTCTTGTTGTTTGATTATGGCATTAATATTTTAAAAGTACTTTATAATACTTGTGTTGTGTTAAAGATGCTTGTTGTGACTGATTTATTTATTGATTGATAGTATAACTATATATTCAAGAAAACTTATTATTTTTTTAATCTGTTTGAAGATTGGAAAAGTTTATTTAAAAGACTTTTTTTATGTATTTGTTAATATTGTGCTAAATTTATTTTGCCAAGTACATGTGTTAAAGATATCCATATTCCTTTAGACAGTTCGTTTGTGTTTGTTTATAAATTTTCTGAATTTATATAAATTGAAGAGATTTGTGTACTTTATTAGTTCCAGCCATGGAACAGGACGTTAAAGTGGTCCTTTATGAGGGTCAGCAGACTCCAAAGAGTAAGTTAGCCATGCTGCTGGCTGTTACGGCCACCAAAGGTTGGCCAATTTCGATGGTTACTATGGATGGCTATACCCCCACACATGCATGATATGCTCTGCTGCCCTCTATGGCATTTCATCACCACAATTCCATAGTCAGTGTTTCATGTAATATGTGAATTGCATTTTATAATTTGTAACTATGCATGTTGCTGCTTTCAAAAAATTTCCTATGTTTCGTAAACATGTTTACATATTGCATTTAAAAAAAAATGGTTTCATTTCTCATTGATAAATTTTTACATTAACCTCTGTTTACACTATCAAATTTTGTGACAAAAAAAAATGTGATTGCTTATATTTGAGTGCAATATGTCATCATCATGCCAATATAAAGATCTGTCCACACTATCAAATTTGATGACAAATTTCTGTGATGTGCCCTTTAAGCTCTGTTCGCACTCCACTTTTATTTTATATGACAAACACATGCGATGTGCCCATAATTGGGTGATTACATCATCATGACCATATATTGTCACATCGTGTTAAATTTTTCACATAAAATTTGATAAGTGTGGACAGAGATTTTATATGAGCAATCACATTTTTTTTGTCACATATAAAAATTTTATAGTGCGGACAGACCTTTACATACTTTCTAGTTAATGACAAAAAGCATAAGTATAATGCATATTTATCATGCTTTTCATAAACTTAAGAAATTAAATGTAATTCATAAAAATATTTTGTCATCCAAAGTAACCATTATTTTGTTTAAATTTGAAAATAAAAAAAACAACTGAAATTTTTTTATTGAAATATAAATTCAAAAGATAATAAACTTTTTTTTTTGTCGTAAAATGACAATTTATTAAATTACATATTCAATTTATTAAATTACATATTTACTCTGAGGTTCTCATGTCATTTAATGAGAAATTTGATTTTATTTTAATGTTTTGCTTGAAATTGAATTACTGGTATCCAAGCCCTGTGCAGACATGTGACATACCTAAATATGGTCATAATGACATCACATCATGACCATATATAGGCACATCATGACTTTATTTGGACATTCAACAGTTTTTTTGGTCAAAGTAATTGTCTGTACAGAGCTAAACAATAGAAACAATCAATTGTATTAAACTGATGCATCCATATACAATATGTTTGCTGCCCTCTGGAGGAAAAAAAACCAGTTCAGAAATTTAATGCATAACATTTTTTGAATAAATTAATTTTAGTTCAACTACTTATATCACTGTCTAGCATCTTCAATAAAACTTATAGATGTACAATCTGTCCAAAATATGAAGAAAAAACTTCCAATGAAAACATTTAATATCTAAATTGAATTAACAGTAAATATGTTTCAATGATGCACATAATAAGGGGAAAAAATTTTTGCTTTTCTTCTGATTTATAAACATTTTAATAAAAACATACTTAGCCTAGATAGGAGGGAAGGATCCAGAAATTTTTAAGCGAGGGGGAACTAAATTTGTCATTACAAAATGAGTTGTGGTACGACAAATGAAAAAATGAGTAATTGATATATTTAAATAGATGACTATATATAAGCTTTATTTTGGTCTCATGAGGCAAAAGTCCCCCTTAGCAGAAATGGTCCATATAGTGAGCTGTCTGGTAGTTGAGAGTGAGCTGTCAAATGGTCCAGAGGGAACTGTTAGCAGCTCCATAAACTTAACTTTAATTGGTTTTAAGAGTCCATTGGGAGTTAACAAGAGAGTCCTGGCCAGCAACATATAGCCATTGGAATGTAAACAAGAAACCCATTACAATCACTCACTTCATCTCATGGGCTTCAGTGGCAATAAATAATTTAAGAACCCTTCGCTATTCAACAAACCAGCAGGATGTATAACCCGGGTTTTTTCCAAAATCTAGGTGCCATGGACCAGTTCTGTTAATGGCCAGATATGCAGCATGTTTGAATCATGTTCCTAGGTTGAGTAAAACCGGAGTAAGATCATTTTAAAATACAGATGTCTAAAAAAAAATTGCCTCTAAAGATAACTAACTGATACATTTTATGTTGGTTTTCCTATCAATTCTGAAAAATAGCTTTGAAAAATGTGCCTTAAACACATTAGGTAATTACTCAACTCGGAACTTTTGCTACTATGAAATATATATATTAAAAATAGAAACCTTAAATTTTTGTCAAAATATCACTTCAGATATATTTTCTTGAATATATCAATTGACCTGGCGTACCACAAGTCTCATTTTATCATGACACTTTGCATATAGGCCTTGTAATATAACTGTACAGATAAATAAGTATCCAATACTGTAATGGCATGATTCCTATTCATTATTGTTACAAAATATTGTAAAATTCAGTATGTGTATGCCATTTCATATTTGTTTTTCTGTTAAAAATAAAAGACAGCAGTGGCAAAACCACTGGGGATAAATCCGCCCCTGATTACAGTAGGCCTGAATTATCTGAATTTTAAATGCTGTATAGTTTATAATACATACATAGAAGCAACATATTTCTCCATGGCTGGTTCTAATCAAATTATAAATTATTGTTTTTAATGATTGTTGTTTATTAACTTCTTTAAGCCAATTAATTTGTAGATTTTCATGTTAATGTAATTTTAAGCCTATTTGATTGACAAAAAGTATAGTAAACAGATTTGTAAATAAGGGGGTGTACAGGTACGTAGGCTGATCTTATCGTATGACGAAAACAGTCTTAGAAAATTGGGTTGATAAATACTTTTAATTAAATTTAGAATTTTTTTAGAAGACTAATTGTGCTGACAGATGAATAAAAATAAAAGAATTCGGAGTGTTTTGAAGATTGAACAACCTTGGGTTGTAGGGTTGTTGCTATAGAAAACCATAGGGTTGGTGAATTGTTAAATTGGTAAACTTTGAATAATAAGAGTGGATTTTAAGGATGGTAAAAGGGGTTGAAAAAGGTGGGTGGAAGGCCATGAAATTAGCTTTAGACTGGGTGGAAAATTTCAAGGCAAAAAAATCCCAAAAACATAATTCACTATAATAAGAAAGTATAATATAAACTCCAAGTATTGAAATGCCTGCAATCATGTTGAGATACAATATTTCTACATTAATTATGTCATCATCAGGAATGAAATATTTTGCATGCATTTAATTAATTGCTCATTTATGAAAATAAAATAAGTTGTCTTTTAAAATGAAAAAAAAAAAGAAAGGTATCAACAGACATGCATTATGAAAATCTTTATAGCCAGCTATTAAAGATATGCAAACACTATAAAAGCGTTGACGAAATATAACATAATATTTTATGCGCCTCTTAATCGGTGATGTAAACATTTTCTATTCTAATTTCTAATTTTTAATCAATTTCTTATAATGTAAATATCAATTGGAATATTTAATTTTATTGTTCACATTTATTTGTTCAAGATAGGTATATGTTTAATAAACAAATATATTTTTTTACGACCATATTGATATTCTTGTTCTATCACTTGTGTTGGCTCAACCAAAAAAGATGCTATTTTTATAACATGTTCTTGATTGACAGTGTCTTATGCACTTGTAGAGCACCTGATGATTAATTGATTAAATCGTGGTGTCAGCACTTATACAGATTAACATGTTTTGTACACTCAGTTGACGTTTTTAAGTGACTCGCTATATAATGTCCTGTTCACACTCATAAACCACCATTGGCCCTACCCCAGTCCCTTTACAATATAAATAACCAGAAACTCTCACAAAAGTCAATAAAACAGACTTTGGTCGATGTGGCATTTTGTAATTATGTGTGTTTACACTATGCAAAGCTGGCTCCAAAGGGGTAAATGGGGCCTTGATTTCTATTCACACTATTAATTTTTTGTGACAAATGTTTGTGATTTGTTTGTACATTGCCATTATGATGTCATCACACCCATAATTGCGACAATACACAGGAATTGTCACATACAATTTGATAATGTGGACATACCTTTAGTCTGTGAAGTGTAGTCGGCCTCGATTTTATTATTGTACAGTATGTCATATCACACCCTTAATATTTAGACAAGTCTCGGGATAATTTGTTACATAAAATGTACTAGTGTGGACTGGCGATTAATCTTGTGAAGTGTTGTTGGCCTCAATTTTATTAGTGAATCTATCAAAACTACCCACACTAAATACAAATGAATAAGTTTAGTTGCACACTAATTAGAGTTGACATGGTTTAATTGTTGTTTTTACTAGAAGATATGAATGATATGTTATTATAAAAAAAGTTTCAAAACAATTTATGCGCTTTTTACTAAAAGTGATAAATAACATTATTCTATAATATGGAAGTGATACTGGGGCTTTGGACAGGGCTTATCAAAGACTGTTCACATGGTACTGTGGACGGGGCTAAGCCAAAGGCTATGTTTACATGGTCCTCTTGACAGGGCTAACCTAACTAAGGCCCTGTTCACACTGTACTTTCGACAGGGCTATACATTACAGTCCCTGTTCACATGGTGCTGTCAACAAAGCTAACCTAAGTCTGTGTTCACACTGTACTATCGACAGGGCTAAACATTACATAGTCTCTGTTCACATCGTGCTGTGAACAGGGCTAACCTAAAGCTGTGTTCACACTGTACTGTCGACAGGGCTATAACCAAACACTCGGTTTACATGGTACTGTCTACAGAACTGACCTAAGACTCTGTTCATATGGTGTTATCTGCAGGCCAAAGGTGCTGTTCACATGTGCTCTTCTGTGGCATGTTTATAGATTTGTTGTCAAAATATCAACATGGAATTCGTCCAACCATCTGTTAGTGTTATTAAACCTCTGATCATTTGTACTTTACTGTAGTTGTTTTAATGGTTCAGCTGTATATATTGGATGTTGCTAATTGCATGCTGAATTCCCTGTTTTTATTACAGTCTGTCTTAGAATTAATGAAGAAATAAATGTATCCAGGGATTTATATAATCTACAATTTGTCTTCCTTCTGACTAATACAGTAAAAAATACTTTTTCCAAAGTAATCTCTAAATTCCATTGAATTCTCCAAATTTATCCATATAAATGTCAGAAATATTAACAGAAGCTGTTTATCCATTAGAAAATGATGGTTTCGTCTGGTTTTATTTACAGTGATGGCAGTAGGGCGCCCTCAAGGTACTGCTGTGTACAATGTTGCTGCATTTGCAAGGGAAGCGGGGGTGCCGGTCATCGCAGATGGGGGAGTGTCTTCTGTTGGCCATATCACAAAAGCCCTTGCTTTGGGTGCATCTACTGGTAAGTGTTTAAACATTTAAGTTTTTGGCTCTGTAGAAACACATTTGACTGATGTCAGTGAACACTGAACATAATGATACCAACAATGTGGTTTTAACATGACAGCAGGGCTGATTGAAGGGGAAATGGGATAGAGAGTGAGAAACAAGGTGGTATGAAACCGTTTTGAACTACTTGAGTAACAGTTTTGCCTAGTAAATTACATTTGGGAAACAACATAAGGCCAACTCAGACAGCGTCATACGACGCAACCGGATGCGATTCACCGTCAGAGAACAGTCTTATATCATCGTGAACATTGTAAACAGGTTTAATATTCTACGACGTGAATGTCCCCAGCGCAAACCATTGTGTCTGTGTTTCACTCGCACAGATCCGACGCGTCAACAAATCGCATCAGAGTGCGTCGTACAATGCTGTCCACGTTAAGCTCAAGTTGTTGCAATCTTTTCCTTAGGCCTTACACTTCTAAACTCCATCTTTATAATATACACAGGCTGCTTATAGTTAGAGTGCACCTCGTCCAAGATGTACTGTGCTGTCAAGTGTATTGTTGTAAAGAAAGAGCAGCTTAGCTCAGTCGGCTAAATTGGTTGTAGCGACTGTGTGTGCGCTGAACCGTGGAGATCTCTAAGTCTCCGGTTCAATTCCCATCGCTGCTCTCCTTGTGTTTCAGCTGGAAGGCTGAAATACAAGTTACCATAGCGCACCGTCTTTTTGGATGAGACATTTAAACCATTAGTGTGCAGTATGGCCCGCTTGCATGATAAAGAACGCAGTACATTCTTCGGAATAGAGTAGGTCTCCCAGTGTGCTGCCCATTCACCACCAGATGGACCATACTGGCAACAAGTCTTCTGACTTAGTGGGCTACAGTATCCTCGGTAAAATATTCACACCTGTTTCACGCCGAAGTACTCCCGTAACTGCACTATATAAATGTAAAATTGTCATTAAATTATTAATAAACTTATTCCATTTTCAATTAATATTGCTTTTTTTTTAAACTCAGTGATGATGGGAAGTTTGTTGGCTGGTACAACTGAGGCTCCAGGTGAATACTTTTTTTCGGATGGTGTCAGGCTGAAGAAATATCGGGGTATGGGGTCACTGGATGCCATGGAAACCAACAAGTCAAGTGCCTCCAGATATTTTAGGTATGTCATGTTATTATGTATCCATAAATTTACAATTTTAATAAAAGAAAGTAGACCTTTTATGATGTACAGGAAAATATTTTTTTTAAATATTAACAGATTTTAAATATTACTTAATGCTGTGTAATTTACACACAAAATTAATTTGCGCGAGTCTCCTGCATGGAAAGTCTAGCACACGTCTCTGCTAAACTGCATATGTGGCAAAGACAAGCCAAACCAGTCACTCGTCGCAAATTGTGTTTCAGAGTAAATAGCAAAAAACTTGCTAGAATGTAAAATTTTTAAAAATCTATTTTATTTCACTAAACTGAGGTTTATGTATCTATACATCATGCTGTGCTGATATTTTTCCCAATTTCAATGTTAAAACAACACTTTTTAAAGATTTTATGATAGCTTCTGCATGAGAAATGCCTGAAATCATAAACTTTGAAGGCTGATTTCTCATATATTGTTCTTTAAACAGCTGTATGCTTAAACGCTTGTAACTAACTTCATAAGGAAATGTCGGATTTGAATGATTTTTTTACCATTTTATAGCTCTTATTTTACTCTTTAACCCTGTATTAATAACTCAAAATCGATTTTTGCAACGAGTGACTGGTTTGGCTTGTCTTTGCCACATATGTTATTGTAAGATTATCAAGTGTCTGGTTAATGTAAGAAATCCAGACATCGCAAAAGGTATAATAATCACTAGTTGCAAAAGTTGTTACTTCCTGCTTATAAAGTATAACCCTATCAACATTTTCTCTTGTGACACTTTAATAACAGATGAGTTTCAATTTATTTTGAAAGCTCAGAAAAATGCAGTATTAATTACTAAGTTTTTTAATTTTTTTTTTTTTTAACTTCAGTGAAAGTGACAAGCTAAAAGTTGCACAGGGTGTTTCCGGATCTATTGTGGATAAAGGTTCCATTCATAAATTTGTTCCGTATCTAATTGCTGGAATCCAACATGGCTGCCAAGACATCGGAGCCAGGTCAACTGAAGTTCTACGGTGAGTTCACAGCGAAAATGTACCAGCTCAGGAGGATGGAATGTAGCATGTCTTATATTTTTCATTGTAACACTTTTTTCCCTCATAATATTGCGTTCTTTCTAGATTCAGATCAAAACATTGTTTGTTGGTGTTTCCTGCGTGTAAAATGATGTTAAGTTTTTGACCAAAACACGCGTTTTATTCGTATATATACATTTGTTCTTCTGAATCCATAATCACAGGAGCTACACAGACGTTAATGTAGCTTCCTTTAGCGAATAATCGCGAATAATGATTTCTAGTCGCTCTTATCAATTGACTGGAAAAGTCATAACAGGGTCACTACGTGCAGGTTAACAGCATTTATATTCATAATTATCTGAAAAAAAGTTTTTTGTAAATGTTTGCTTTTTCGCCATCTGTTTTTTTTTTTTTTTTTTTCTTTTCTTTTCAATATTGTGTTCTTTCGAGATTTAGATCTCCAAATTTTGAAACGTTTTAATCCACATGGACTTTACTGGATGAGATGATGTGAATGATTTTTTACCAACACACTTTTTATTCATAAGTGACCCAGAAACAGTTAGTTAATATGGATTTGTACACATGCGTTTTTTTTTTTTTTTTTGCCATCTTGCTGTAGCCGTTCGAGTCAAGTTGTTCAGGTGTAGAATATACTGTGTCAAATTATACTAATAAAATAGTGATTATAATAGCAAATATTGGAAAACATGATTGAACTAGTAAGAAATCAATATAACAAACTTTGATTTTAATAATAAATGCATAATCACGTATAACATTAGACTTTATGACGTTATTTTGTTAATGATGATGTCATCATGAGGAAAAATCTTTCGTTAAATCAACTATTTTTTAAATCTGAATTCGTAAAATGGATATCTTTACGTTATTTACCCTAACAATATATACTGTAAAGTTTCCATGCAAAACAATAGTTAAAGTTGCTAATTTTGATTGAAAAATACCAAGCTCTTTTTGTCGGTGGAAGACCAATGGTTGTAAGTACTCATTGAGGACAAAGTATTTAGAACAAGTGTTATTTATTCAACACTTACAACTAAATTGCATTATTTAAAATGCTATTTATTTTTACAGTTATTATTCTATTATTATTTTTATAATTATATTATTATTTTTTTTTAAATTAAAAAGATTAATTTTGAAATACCAACTCATTTATAACATAATTTCTTTTTCCTACAGTGACATGATGTACGATGGGAAACTTCGATTTGAGAAACGCACAGTTTCTGCACAGGTAGAGGGCGGTGTGCATAGTTTGCATTCGTAAGTTTAACAGTTTTTCTAACAAGACTGACAAAGGTTGTAGTGGTGTTGATCGTGGGTTGGATTTTGTGGATTTACTAATAGAACTATCAAGTGTGCGGTTTTATTAACATCAGTATTATCCATACAATTTTATAAATATTTGATTATTTTAATTTCAGCTACGAGAAACGTCTATACTGAAGGCAAAAGAATCTGCTGTTCCGAGAACTCCTACCATCCGTATGTGATCCGTGTATTAAAATTGACTGCATAATCTGCGAAGGGATTACCCTTTTGTTGATTTTAATGTCAGTAAAATGGTGTATAATTTATGAATCTTATTTTAATTTGTTTGCTATTATATTCATAGCAGAAACTTATGTTCTGTTATTCATACGTGTAAAACTAATAACTTTCATTTAAAAAATTAAGTGATGAGTTTTCTATGATTTTTATTAAGCAATAGAAAGGTCGTTTCTATTTTTTTTTTTTTTTTGATGTGCAGAATTGTACACCATTAAAGATTATTTTACTGTGGTTTATCCCAAATATTGTAAGAACACAAAAAAACTAATTTTCTTGGTAACTGGGTGTTCAGTGTGTTAGGAGTTTGCTGGTAATTAGAAATACATTTTTGTGATTAATTGTAATAATAATGTAAGCCTTGGATACTATTTGATATTTGGTGTGTGATAGTATACATATGGATTTTCATGAGTGCAATGGTATAGAATATTTTTTAACAAGAGTTGAATAGTACATTCCATCTTTCACTGAAAGAAAATATTGTATTCCATTGTATGAATGAAAACTTTCATTTTGTTATATATAGAACTTATACAGTGTAAAGTATAAAGATTGTCATTTGTTTGGTGGTTTTCTAATAAAAAGAAAAAGATGGGCTGAAAAAAAGAATTGGACAGCGAAGTCAGCAAATGGCACAAAAGATTAACAAAAAAATTGATGTCTGCTATGAAATTTACTTTTTTTTTCATTGAATAAAATAAACACTGTTTTAATCCCATGTTATCTATACTCGACCCATTCATTTAAGAAGAATTCAGATTTGTGTATAATAATAGCTTAACCAATTTAGAATTTGTGAAAACAATTTCTTGTTAATATAAGTGTTGTTTAAAGTACACTAGAAATTATTCAAATGTTTTGTAGTTCATTGCTAATAGTTAGCCTTGGTATTGTTAAGAATGGTTGTTGGGTGTTGAGCTTTGAATTAATACACCATATTGGAAACTCTGTGCTATACGTCAAACCAGTAATAGTTGCCTTGGGTATTTTAAAGCAAAATTTATGAATGGAACATAAGTATTTAGAAAAAAATAAAATTTAAACCAAAATGTGTATCTTTCTTTCACTGCCCTGACTTGGATGCCATTATACTTAATACAAAAGGTTTCAAATAATAATTGTAGTGGAGGGTGTGCTGTGTAATACGTACATATTCATAATTTGCATTCCATGTGTAATTAATGGGAATATTTATTTAAGAGGACATAAGAGTTGTTATAATTGTACAAATTGTGCTAAGTACAGTATATAATCATCTATGTTTACATTTGCCCTGAAGTTGAACAAGTAATTAAAATTTATTTAGTAGATCTCACAGTTTTTGGTAAAAGTGTCGGTAAAATCGGTAAAATTACTGGATATTTCGCCTAGAGGCTATTTTGTAATGTATTATAATTGCCAGAATGTTATGAAGATGCTGAATTTTAAACTACAGTAAACCTTTCTTTTAAAAAAAAAATTAGAAAATAAAATGATATTTTTATGTGGTATTATTAAGATTTATATTTATATAAATCTTAAAAGAATTGAACTAGCTAAAAATTGGTCATTTGTATGATTAAAAAAAAAGTTATAAATGATAATAGGTTTGTTTATATTTTTGTTTTATTCAGAGGCCTAGATCAGGATTATTATAGAAAGTTTATCTCTGATCAAATAAAGATTTTGGTTTGTAGATTTAGAAATAGTAGTGTGAAATAGAGATTCTAAGAAGTAGTGTGTTAAGTCTGTAGAAAGCTTTTTCTGGAGAAGATACTATAGGAGAATAAGTACTTTATTTTAGAAATTCATTGATATTGCTGAAGATAAGTGTTTATTGCCTTTTACCACTTTAAAGTGTATAACATTAACAATGCAAGGTGCTTTACGTGTATAAGTAATACTAGTATATGTTCTCTTGCTACTGGGCAGAAGTCACTCTAGCTACCTGTTCTGTGAAGCATTTGAATTGTATATTTATTGGTACTGTTTTCATTATTTTAATTATTATATTATTGTTTCGAATTTGATGAAAGAAGTTATGGATATGCTAATTGTTAAATGAAATTGTTATTTAATTGAAGGTTGAAACTCCCTTATATTTAAGTATACATACACTGTATATATGAAATAAAACACAAAGGTGGTAGTTGATTTGTTTCAAACTCTACTGGAAAAGTAACTGGCTTTTATACTTTTCAACTGTTTCAATCTTTCAATAGCCAGGATTTATACTAAAATTAATCTTGTCATTGATATGTTGGAGATTTTCAGTGATAGACGTCAGTAGATACAAACGTCAGAGCTTGCCCTTTCCAATAATATAATATCTAAGAAAAAATAAATAAAGTTAAATTGCTTCAAAAATTTAATTAATTACCGTGACAAATATTTTTCCACCGTGATTCAAAGATCATAAAATTACACAACAATTTAATATGGAAATCTGTACAAACTCTCGATTGTCAAAATCTGTAATTCAGCTAAATCTGAATTGTTTCAGAAATAGCAGCTTATAATTGACCTAAGCCCCACCTTCGATATTGTTGCTAAGGTCCCCACAAAACGGCAGTGTAAAAACATACGTACACAGAGACTGTACACCTGTGTTTGTGGGACAACACGCGTTTTTGTGGGACAACACGCGTGTTTGTGGGACAACACGCGTGTTTGTAGGACACACGCACATTCCTGGCCCAGGTCAGATAGGCCAGGTGTTAAGTTTAATTGTAGCACTCCGGAAAGGTCCATTGAATTAGAGGGGTTTTTTAAACCATAACCAGCTAATTTTAAAGGCTGTGTTACTTAGTTTATTCATAACTATGTCACCTACTAGGGATAATGTTTTGATTGGTCAATCACTTTTGGTATTTGTGCATATAAGCTTGCAAATATTGATAATTTTTCATTCCTGATGATGACATAATTAATGTCGAAATATTGAATCCCGACACGATGGCGTGCATTTCGATACTTGGAGTATGTATTACACTGTCTTACGCCTATCTATTGTGCTAATTGGTGGAGCTGGCTTAACTCTAACCTTAAACTTCTGTCTCGCTTTCTTTATGCACTATGGCATTTCGGAAGAATAACCATTTCCTATTTTATAGGATTCTAACATTTTTAAGAACTTTACTAGCTTTAATTTACTTATATGTATGGGATACAAGGTGCTTGTAATAATTGTATAATTCCACTAAGTATTGCTGGTCTTGCTTCTCATTACCTTACAAAAACGGGTGCGCATTTTTTATTGTAATCTAATCTAAATAATTAGGATTATTGGAATTTCGTAAGCTTGTAAACATTGTTATTAGGATTTGAAAGTGTTTTTTTTTTCCCAACCACGGAAACTATGATTGTGTACAATGATTCTAAAGCAGAACAGTGACAGGGGAATTGTAATTGCATTTGCTATAACAAAATATTTTACTCGTCCTGTTTGTTTGAATATGTGTATCTTCACAATGCACAGGTGTATATCAGTCGTGATGCTCTTACGAAGATGTTCAAATTTCTCCCGGTTTTCTGCAAAAGTAAATAAATTGACGTGGGTAGGGAGGGCAGACGAGAAACAAGTTTATTTATTTGATCTTCGATTTTACATATTCACCCTTCGTTTGTATTCAACGTTTTAATTTTAGAATAAAGATGATACTCGTCACTATTTTGAGTTGTTGCTTTATTATATTGCTGACGTAGATTGAGATTCGTCGTAAAGTTATAGACCTGTCGTAAACTCTAAAAAAAAAAGCCATAACAATTTCAATTGATAGAAATTGAATAGTTGTTTGAAGGTTTTAGAAGATTATAAATTGCCAGAGAGGCGCAGATCAAAACAGCTGATCTTTAGACGTTTGACAAGAAAAAAAAGTTGATTACCAGTCAATTCATCAGTAGGGCCAAAATTGACTGGTATAAGTTTATATGGGAAAAGTTATTTCCTGCTGTCTGTCAAATGGCCAGAACCCAGCTAACCATCGTTAACTATATAAACATTGAAGTAACGTTGCAGTTTGGTGTACAGAACTTGGTGTTTGTAGAATCATCACGTATTCATAAATTATAGTCGTGCTTTGCAGCTGCAAGTAACGTAATTTCCGACTAAATGACGTTACAAATGTAGTTTAATTTTAACGTTCGTTAACGAGCTAACATTAATTTCTGATATATCTCAACCACATCATTCGCGAACATTAAAACTCGCTGGAAAGAATGTTTATTTGTTTTTATAATTAATATTCAAAGTACACACGAAATATTGGCTCCTTGCATACAGATATATTTCATTCCTGAATCATTTATTGCTCCGTGAGTTCGTCTCCTGACCGAAAGTCCACAAACAATTCTGACCTTGGCCACTGAATTTGTCCTCGCATGTCTCACGCTTATATTATTAGTAAAGTACCTGTGATCATTTTATATGGATATGTTTTTTAATTCTTCCAGGTGAATTTATTCACTCTATAGATGTTGTTTGCCCTTGTTACTGTCACCGTATAGAGATTTCGGCCCCTTGAGCAGAACTCACTGTTAAGGAATTCGGGCAGCTAGAGACTCCTGAATTCACTATAAATGTTACTGTTATATTTTATTTACAGTATTTTATTTTATTTTATTTTATTCCTTTCAGCCAATACAACAACAACAAAATCAATAAAGAAAGAGGAGGGCTAACAAGTGGCAAAAGCGGTACAAAAACTACTGTCACCGGATATGATGTTCCCCTCCGACTCCATTTTCAATATTAAACACAGATAAAATAAAAAAGATATTTGCTGTTATGCACAAAAGGGTAAATTCGCTGGGAGGGGATTGGTCAAGACAAGTACTGTAAAATTCTTATTAATCTATTTTCTTTGCAAAAACGCCATTTAACAATTTCGGTAACAAAAATACATTTAACATTCTATTTAAAACTTTTCACTACTACAGTCACATCATCCTCCTTTATTATTCCATAATAGTTTTAAAAATTTTTGTTGTAAAGGTTTATTTTGATAAAATTATATAAAACGCAAAGCATGTTGGCTTACATCGACTGTAATTTATTTTATAGGCTTCCAAATTTACGTTATTCCTTATATTTTTAGTTTTCTATTTTTATTCAGATTACTGTGTGCTATAAACGGTCAGAATGACGTGTCTTCTGTTTTTAGTGGCTTTTGATTTTAATTTTTCATGAAGGCATCATTAATGCTATATACAGAACAAATTCATTATACACGATTTCGATGGTTTAAAATTACTCTAGCCTGATTTGTTTTATCCATGTCTGCAGGCGACAGGTGTTTTTTGTTGGTCGGTTACTTTCATGTGGTTTGCAGCATCGCTTACCTTAACATTCGTTGATCAAGTACAGTAATGTATACTTAGTATTAGTTGAGTTTAACATTTTAGATAGCTCTGTGTCCGTTCGATAGATGCTCGTCACGAGGGTATTCTAAGAAAATAAAACTATCAAGATAAACGTTTATCAAACGTGATGCTCTCAAGTAGAGTAACAAGAATCGATTACAAGATTTTCACATTTTGTACAAATACCAAAGGGGACTGCTCTTTGAAGAAGACACCAAATGACTAAACAAAAAGATCAGTAAATTGCTTAATAATTGCTTTTTTTTTAAAGTTGTTTCAATATATATAGAGAAATTAAAACATTTATGCATAAGAAGGTGCTGGTGAGTCGAGTCGCCGATGTGAGTCGAGTCGCCGATTGGTATCGAGCGGTGTTGCCGCTATACAACTTCACATTGGCGTTGGTTCGAGTCGCTACCTGCCCTAGGGTTCGGTTGACAGAAGTCTCCAGGGGCGGATTTAGGTGTGGGGAGCGGCGCCCCCCCCCCCCTTTTGGAAAAGTAAAGAAAAAAAAAGAAAAAGAAAGAAAAAAGAAAAAAATAATAGCCAAGAACGCCTCAAATGTTCTTTTCGGACGTCTAGAACACAAAAATTTCGTAAGGGTATGCTCCCGGACCCCATAGGACAATGTTGTCTCGATCAGCCCAACTTTCAGCCCCCTTTCGCCCCCCCCCCTTTTTTGGACGTCTGTGGATCCGCCCCTGGTCTCTGATAAGTACTTAAAATGCACCAGGACCAGTGTACCTTAAACAACCCATAACACCGTACAGTATGTGTATGTGTTACCCCGGGCCGGTTCTATGGTTCGTTTCAACTGTCGGCTGCTAGGTAATCACGGATCAAAATGCATACGCACCCCTCCACCAAAATCATAAAGGTCCTCATTTTTTTAAGACAGTAGAGAATGTATTAAAAGGAAATCTTAAACCTTTATATATTAACCAGTAATATATTGTTAGACCAGTATTTTAGGCATTAGAGTTGTCATAGTAATGAAAATCGAAGCTGCGATCCAACTGGCTCTGTCCCGACTGATCTCAGTTGGTCAATCTTTGCCTCGATCCATTCTCAGTCTTGTCATTGATTCTCTTCAATCGATTACTATTTTTTATAGTGTGTATCGTGTATAAAAAGAAGCGAGAACGTTTATTTTATATCATTTCGAATCTTTAGGTTTATTCATTAGTAGTTCACGGATGAACTAAACCAACAATTTGTTATATAATTATGGTAAATGTTTGTTTACGGGCAACTATTTTAGTGGTGAATGCAAAGAGGTATAGTACTACCCTTCGTAACGTATACGTGCAGTGGCCTGCGAGGGCCATACTATATGAAACATAATGGGGATGATAGTAAAAAATGATAGACCTTGGTATTTGACGTAGATCTAGGTATAATATAAGAAAGAGAGCTTGTATGGATTATACAACAGTTTCTTGAAAAGGTTTATCGCAAAAATTAAGAATGGAGTCAAAACAGGGGTGTCAGTTAATTTTGGCTTTGCAATGCCCTTGGTTGGGAACTTTTGTCGTTTCTTTTTAAAATGTTAAACTTGCGTGCATTTTTAAAATACTTTTTCGTGATACGTCTATTCTATTTGAAGGTATCTATTCTCGTTTAAGTCCTATTAGAAATCCTTATATGTAGAATTTCAAATTCGGTTTCCGTTCGAATTCTACATGTAAATCGGACTCACTCAATTATATTCTTTATCATTTAAGACAACAGAGGATAAGTTATTTTCCCAACATGTTCTTTCGACGTCTGTCATGACTTCATGCGCCCCATAAATCATTATATATTCAGTTAAATAATCCCATTTCATTTAGGCTGATCTATTGTATCCTGGATTGATATCTTACAAGCTCAGCTACAGATCACGGCGGATTTCTTTGAAAGAATTCTTTCCAATCCTGTTGAGGTTTTTTTTTTCCTTTGGTTTAGGTTACCAACGAACATATCAATAAGCATCGCATCGTTCTGGAAATTTTCCAAAGTACTAGAGGCGGAGAAGGGAGCTACAAATGACAGCAGACTCAGCTACAAATAACAGCGGACTTCTTACAATCATGTTACAATGGATCTTTTCGAATGCAGTTATTTTTTGTTTCTTTTTCTAAAGTTAAGGTAACCTGGCATAATAATCGATGACCTTTTTATATAATTAACTTATTAACATAATTAATTAATTTTAACATAATTATACAGTCCACTTTAAAGTTTTCATTACGATATCAAACAATTTGAAAACTGCTTTTAATGCTCATATGTTTTTTTTTTTTTTTTTTTTTTTTTTTTGTTTTTTTTTTTTTTAGAAATTGTTTCTTAGATAAATTGACATTATTTCATATATTTTTTCTCGCCGTTAGCCTATCTTGCTGTGTTTTCCCTCAAAATTAAGATAATCCAGTTCAAAACAAGATAGTTGCAACTATAAACTAACGTAGTTGCAACTATTAACTAGTGTCCACACTGTTTTCACTGTGTTCACACCTGTAAATACACTGTTATTCTGTGCTCACTCTGTGTATTCAAAGAATCCCACCGATTCCACGCTGTAATCAGCACTGTGTAAATATTCTGTCTATATTTTGACATTTTGCAAAGGGTTTCAATACACGACCTCATAGCCATTTCTCCCTTCTTCCCAATCACAGAATTGTGAATGTCACAATAGAAAACCTTCTTATTTTCTACCCGGTTCCATATTCACACTCTTATTTTCACTTAACAATTCCTGCATTCACACATGATTTCAAACAGGTTTTTGAGATGAAAACTCTAGTCCATCAAAACAACCTCCTGTTGATAAGGCTCTGTCCAGAATATAAAATTGTATTTGACAAAAATATGTGACACATGCCTAAATATGGTAATGATGACATCACATCATGACAATATAATATAGGCACATTATGACTATATATGGACATACTGCAGTGTTTTGTCAATACAAATTTTATGTTAATATGGTCATGGTGACATCACATCATGACCATATATAGGCACGTCATGACTATATATGGGCGCACAACAGATTTGTGTCAATACAAATTTTTATGTTCAAATTGATTGGCAACGTCACATAGTCTGACAATATTTAAAAAAAAAAACATAGCGTAGACATTGTAAGCTTTCATATATTTGTATTTTAATAGATTTCATTTCATTACAAACAAGTAAGTAAGGATACTCCGTGGGTAAAGTGTAGCAAATTTTCCAAATTATATGCAGCAACCAACAATATAAAGTTAGACAATAGTGTATAACTAACTGCAACTTGTTTTATGGCTCACAAAATGGCAAGTATAAACTTGAATATTGATCTGTTTAAAAAATGTAGACCTACTGTCAATTATACGCATTATATGGTTATCTTCTTTGTACTTAGATTTGATTGTAATTAACATTTTTTGTAAATATATATAAAAATAAAAATAGAATATCGTCCAGCGATTTTCATTTTCCATATTATGGTATTAGTAACACCGATTTGTCATTTTACTTTAACAATAAAGATATATTTTACAAATGTACATTATTTCTCAATTTAAATTAATTGTATTAATGTCACATATTTTCCAGTATACCATTTCTTTTACCATTTAATTCAACATATTATTGGCTGTTTTGTTTGTCATTTAAATATTGTTCAATTATGAATAATGTAAAGATAAATAGATAAATAATATAATTAGGTAATTTGCTGTTCTAAGTAAACCACTATTAGGGGTCTATCTCTTTCAAGTTCAAATTTGTATAAATTACAATGTCAAGAGTATTTCATCAACATGTAAGGCCGAACTTTAGATTTGCATTGTTGCGATGACATGTTGTCTTCAGTAACTTCCGTAAGTCTTAAACCAGCGGCACGTATATATATACAAAATAACACACACTGTATTTAGTTAAAACCAACTAATCAGAAGAGACAAACACTGAACTTTAAAAAACAAAGATAAATAAAATCTGCAGAATAAACCAGAAAATTGAGATTTCAGAGTCCTGCTCCGGTTGTCAATTTATGTCCGCGTAGTAATATATTGGTGTATTAAGTGTTTAGATTTTGTCTGGCTCTGATTCGACCAGGATGTTATTCTCTTCATGGAACTATAAATAACAAGCTGTATGTTCTCTTGAAATTAATCTTTTTTTTGTGGAACTGTGAGTACCGTAATGTGTATCTTATTCTGCAGTGGTTAATTGCAACCGACAATGAATTTTGAATCATAATCTCACCAGGTCCACCAACTGAATGAAGAATTAGTAGATTATTTTTGAAATACCAACTTAATTTTAGTTAACTATCTACAAGTACGATTAGTAATGCACTATTTTAGTAAATCAGATAATATATTACATATATTTTCCGTGCAGGATGTGAACTACTTTTAGGAATAGAAACGGGAACAAAATAGGATAGTGAACAAAATTTCAGGCTGCTTTCTTGAAAATTGCCGTAGCCATCCTAACCTTACATTCGTATTATTGTTTCAACAAAACAAAACGGATGGCATCTAATGTTTAATGAAATATGCTTATCAGGGAGGTATAAACATACTTTTATACCTCCCTGATGATTACTGTCTGTGTGTGTTAAAATCTAAAGACTACTATTCATTTTTTTAAATAGCTGATTTATATAGATCAGAGGGGGATCAAATCACTTATTCAGATTTTACAAATGTTTTATTGTTTAAGTATAATGATTTATTGCATATTAGTTTGTAATTAGTGTATATTTTATTACAAACTCGAATTTTCCGCTGTATAATGTCTGAGATAACTTTATAAAGTTTTCTCAGATAAGGGTAGGGTTGGAGTGTCATCATCACACAAGTGCTGTATAAACAAAGTGTGGATTATACCTTCCTATTTATTTAATTGTTGTTCGGCTCAACACAAACAGTAAAGTTTCAACCACAGAGAAATTATGTTTCGTCTAATTCTACGAATTTGGAATGTCATTTTATGAGATGGGTATTCTTCAAATAATGTTTGAAACACAAACTCTTACAGATTTATACATAAAACTAGACAACATTTATAACAGGTTTAGTCGTTTTTGTCTTCATTGTTCCAGTCCAACTTAAACTCATCCACATTGAATCGTCATTGCAGCATTATATTGTGTTCTGGTTTCACATTTAGAGAGTTTTCTTGCGATCTTTAGTTCGTCTTTCTTCGTGGTGGCTCTCTCTCATCTGTTCTAACCGTGTCTTCCTTGCTTTGTTTAGCTCCTTAATCCATGTTTGCTGAAAGATATACAAATAACAGTGAATTATTTTAAATGGTATTTTGTATTAACATTTTTGATTTGCTTTCTCTGGTTTGGTGCACACTGTACGCTTCATAGTTTAAAACGTTTGCATAAAGTATGCGTTAGTGGTAGACTGCACCTGCTAAAACCAACATCAGTTGTTCGCAGAAGCTAAATTATAAATATTTTGAAGTTAGGCAATGAAGTGCTAGTGTATCGCGTTACGTGTTTCACCGGACCGAACTAATACATATTATTATTGTAATTGTGAGGTCACGGCATTATCTTTGTAATCGAAAAATTGATAAACCTTAACAGAGCTTAAAGTTGCCCCTTATCGAATGATTATGCGGAAAATTATAACACGATTTTATGGATAAGGCTTTACATATCTAAAGTCGATCACATTGAAATCGTTTTTTCTTCATGACGCTCCTTGCGTTTCTTGCGTCACTTTCACTTTTAGGCCACTTAAACACTACCGGTATCCATTAAGGTTCTGACTATTGTGGTCAGGAAGTTAAACTATACTCTGACCATTCACGGCCGATAGGTAGGCCTACCCCAGTTTGCACTGCTGACGGGTTGTGTCACCCTATGTTTCAACCTAAGAGGCTCGTGTTAATTGGCTTAAAAATGATTTATGGTAACATCAGGTCTAAATTACAAAGTTAACAAATGTATAGGCATAAGCCTACTTACCTTACTGTGTTCGTTTGGTGTCATAACGGTGTATACATTAATTATTTGTTGATACCGACTGGTGTGCATCATAACAAATGCAAATTTCATACCACTTGCTGAAAAGGAAAATTTAAAAGCGTTGCATTCATTATAAGACTATTAAATATATTTATATTGTTTTTAGAATAATGTGAACATAAATTATAAGTGTAAAAGTGGTTTAGGTGTCAACATTTTTAAACTTTTTTTTTTCTTTTTTTCAATATTAAAATATTTAAATATGTGCGTGCAATGGGAAGTACAGTAATTAGTTAGCCTTTTGAAATCAAGTAAACGAACAGTCATTTGGTCAAATTGAAATTTCAGTCGAGCCATCCATTCAATCCAATATTCGTTTAATCAATTGGTCAACTTATGGATGAACTAACCAATTAATCAACCACCCAGTCAATTATAAAACCCAACCAATCAATGAACCAATGCTTTCCAATTATTAATAGCACCATAAAGTCATGTTTCCTTAAAATCGTTACACTGTCGCTACAGTGTTTTACGTGCAATCGTTGTACTGCGTAGGAATCCCCGACGCAATCGGGAAGGCTCTCCAATTCGACCGACCAATCAGCATTACCGAAAGCTGTTGGCGATAGCGTGTAGCGATTTTATGGAAACCAGGCTTTACAAAGCAACATATTTTGACTCAAATATATTATTTTGCAATTGTTTTCACCCATCAAACGTTCTTAATTAGTCAATCCAAAGCTGATGTATTAAAAGGTGGCAAAAGTTAATGTTTTACAATAATATACGTATGTCAATAGTTGAACTGACAAAATTTTAACTTGTTTTTAATTTAATATTTGTACCTAATATTATAATTATGTAGCTACAAATTGAGTAAGTTTTATATACAAGTTTGAGGGAAATTTATTGTATCTTTATAGCAAATTAGTCATCAGCCAGTATGCTTAAGATAAAAATTCGGTTAGCTTTGTACTTGAAATATGTGGGTGTATATTAAGTGATATATCTGTTTTTAAGATGTATGTTTTTTTTTTAATCGAGTCAGTCAGTATGTCATTTAGTCGGTTACTACCACTTAAGACATCAATTAATGCTAGAATCAATCAGTAAAATAAAGTATTAATAAATAATGTAAAATACAATATTGTGAAAAAAAAAACGCAATTAGAATGTTTATACCAGAAACAGCAGACACACAATGATTCGAAAATATTTACGTACCTTGTGCTTGTCTTGAAGTGACTTCCACAACGTCTAGTCTGTCCAGTGGAATGGGTTGTTTTAAAACGTGAAACATCATACCATCCCTTCGTCTTGGCACAGGGGGTGTGTGAGTTTGCTGCGACGACAACCTCTCGAAGGGGCTGACTTTCTTCTTCGCATCCTTTAAATAAAGAAAATAATAACTGTGAAAAACATATTCATTCTTCGCATATCTGCAAGATTGGCACCAATTTAACTTTTGAACTTCTTAGTCCTATATTATAAGCCCATTTACTCTATGTAAATTACAGATTTCAATTTGAAAATTACCTGACAAATAATACCCTTCCTGTAGTATTTGTACTACCTGTAACTTGGATGAAACAATTTTCTTCGGAAAATTTTTAATAGTTTCCATCTGTGTTTCATTGAATTTACTTGATTTCAATGGGTAATTTAAATTGACCCAAATTTCACCCCAGTAAATAAAACTTATTGGCTAATTATTTTTATGCCTGTTTGGTGTGGAGAAATACTAGTTTGGTGGTTAAGATGCTTGTATTTAATCCCAGGTTACTGGGTTAAATTTTCAATGATTTTATTTTTCTTTAAACCTTAGAATGAGTCTTACCTAGAGGCTTTTTATATGTTTATAATGGTTAGTGTTCATATTTGTATTATGAAAGAATACTTATTATATAAGACATATTCCCTTTTAGAAATCCTTGACTTATGTTCCTTAATCAATACAATGATAACAATCATTAAATACCCGGTACATTTATTGAAATGAGATTTTGTTAAGATTGTTATGCCCAATGCTTTAAATGCCGTATATTTTTACATTACTTTTACTTCTTACTTTATTATTTTCGCTAGAATATATTACAACATATTTCATGTTTGCATATTTATACCTTTTTGATTTTTGTCATGAGGAACATGTCGTCGAAGATAAATGCATAGATGTCGACATTATTTCCACTGTCGGAAAGAATTAATGGACCTTCGTAGATAAGTGCCCTCTTTGTGCCAACGAATAAACTGCTGAGAGATTTCCGTGTCTTCTCCAACAAACTGTTCTTCAGGAACTAAATGAAGAAATAATGTATTTTTATGGACATGCAGTAATGGAAAGAAAGCATTTTATTTCAATAAACCGAGGCAAGTCTGTATAACTGCGTTTTTTTTTTGTTTTTTTTTAAACCTATCTTTACACTGTAATTAGCCATTAGTGGAGAAGTGGCAGCACGCCTATTGATTAAAAAAACGTAATATTCTGACGCACACCCTTACACCCACCAACACAAATACATTCAAATACATATATATCAAAGAATACTGGAATAAACGCCTATCTAAATATAAAATCTGTCTCTTATACAGATCTGTCTTGTAGTAATGCTTCATACCATTAGAAGAGTGGACTTTACCATAACCAGCGCGAAGGTGGGCAATGCACGAAGCTGTTGTATATTTGTTTCATATTTTATTTCTTTCTTTTGTTGTCTGTATGTTTTATTAATTCTCGTATGTTGGAGCCCAATGGAAATAAGCCATACTTTTGGCTTTTTTGTTCCCTAGTCTTACATCTGGTCTGTTTAATTTAATTTTATTTTTTTTAATGTATTTTATGTGAATATGTTTCTGCGTATCTAAACATAATTAATTTAAATCAAATCAAATTATAGTTACAAAATGTATATGTAATATAATTGATATTTATAATTAAAAATAAATTGATTAGTTTCTAAATTGTGTTATTAGGAAAATGCGTTGTCCTTTTAAGGCGTCTTAGTCATCAAGATGCTTATTCTAAGCTCAGATTAACATTCTGTTTTTTGCTTGTGTATGAAAGTGTGTGGGTGTGTACAGTATTAAAAATCTTTGTATTGTATTATCTTTAGGCCTAAGTTATTTAATCGAATCATTCCGAGTACATGAGTGTGTTTATGTCCGTGTAGAAAGACATAAGAATTAGACGGCCAATTGCATTTTGGTCAATATACATCCGGTCTTACCTCGGGGAACAATGCCTTTGTGTCCTGGTCATCTATCGACCACGTGATCATATGTTGCAGTTCCCTCATTCGTTCAAAATTTGTCAGCCAACGTACCTTTCCTTCTAATTCTCCTGCGAAAAATGTAAATAAGTAACACATAAAAAATAACTAAAAACATATCATGACGATTACTGTATTATTTTTGTATTTCCTAGTCATTAATAATACAATTATTATCACATTTATAGATAATGAAAACTTTGTGTAATTATATTTTAAAATATGTTTTCTATATATAAAATATTTAAATATGATAAGAAAAACTACTACATAATATTTGTAACATCTGTATCGTATCAGATTAGTTCGCTGGTTACAATTATTAACCTTCCACTTGCTTGTTGAGTGTGTTACCTCGTTTATTTTTTATTTATTTATTTATGTGGTTCGAACCCTCAACAACTAGTTTCACAACCTGAACGGAAATCGCTCCGCCAAACCGATTTCCTCGGTTTCATAATAATAATTATTATATTAGTTTCCCGGAAAATCTTAACTAGCATTTATCGATGTATGTACCTTCACTCTATACACTAAGTGGTCTGGTAGTTATTAACTGCACGTGTTGATAGTCAAGACATATAAAGAATAATACTGCTTATAACTCTGAAAGCATTTAATTGCATTTGTTGAACTTTACAATAGTAACCAAACATCAACTATATTTGTTTCCAACATACAACAACACTATCAATTTCAGACAATAACACGAGTATGACTATTTGTCTATACGTATTGACATTTGACATAGCAATGCGCACTTGAAACCACAAGATAGCATGCTGTAGGCGTAGCCTATTTCATTTGCATAATTCTCCTGATATACACAGGCCTAGTTCAGACTAGTTGGATAAACCCGGCTCAACTCACCGGGTTTATCCACCTGCCAGTCTGAACTAGGTGGCTTATCTCAAGCCGGGCTGTGTTCCTATGTAACTAGGCCTGGCGTGCCACCGTGTTTGTTTAACTTTTCTAAGCCGGGCTTTAATCGTTGCGGGGGGGGGGGGAGCATTCAATTACGTCGCTGTGACTACTTGCGAACGTTTCGCGAGCAATGTTTTGAAACACGTTTCCTGGTAACGGTTCATTATTATGCAAATTTTGGCGCCTGGCTAATCCCGCTAGTCTGAACGCCCGGCAAAGTTAAGCCGGGCTTAACGTTGAGCCGGGCTTATCTCCAAGTCTGAAAGTAGCCATAAACATTTTAGAGATAGTAGGCTTACCGTATTTGTCAACTTTACAATCAGGGACAATTTATTGTAACTTACTATGAATCAGTGATTATAATACAGTATTTTTTACAAGTCCCTTACTTGGAAATGTTAGGCCTATCTAAATATAAAATAGGCTCCCAGCGGGAGTTCCGAACGCTATTCGATTGTCAATCGCCCCTTACCTCGTGGTAGTACTGTACCCATCATGCCTAAATCGGATTTACCCTTTACCACCATCTTTAATTGCTACATCATGACATAGTGTCTACGCCCCCGTTACATACCTAGAGCAGATTTGACAATAACAATAGTGCCAGTAATAGCTCCTTGATCAGCCGGACTCGGTGTTCTTTTCAGTATATCGTTTAATAATATTGGATACTTGGTAATTCTTTGAATTGGCGCCACCAGAAAGTCCGACAACTGTAGACGTTTACACCGTGGATTTTGCTCACACCACTAGTGTAAAAAAGACAGATAGTATAAGGAAAAAAATGAACATGACAAGAATGTTTTGTCAAAACTCAAGTTAATCCATCACTGACTTGTTGAAGAGGTTCTTCAACAGGCATTCGTTTGATGAATTGGTAAGATATTAGTAAATAAAAAAATCACGTAGCTCGACAGTATAACTTCGTCTTTAATGTTGTTAACACTACATCAATTCACATTATTTTTTTTTATCACGTTTTTTTTTGTATTTTTGTGAACTTGCTTTTTATAACATTGTATACTTAAAAACTGACACGCTGAACTATATAATAGTCTGACTGGCTATGTAGAAAATGAAGTGTTATATAAGGATAATTCCCTTGCACAATTCGTAGGCCTATGTTTTGACCTACAGATAACACTTGTTTTATAGGCAAATCTTTAATCCGATGCTTATGATGGTTCATCGGGGTCGTAACGTTGCTAGATTATAATAGATGGGCCTATTGTTAGATTAAAATTTGGTTATATAATTACTCAAGTTTTAGTTAATTATTACTTCAGTTTTTGCACACCAATGCCAATCAGTTTTGACGTTATGTTGTCAAAATTTCAATATTCTAATAACAAAAACCACAGATATATATAGTTACAGTATGTTCTTACCCTGATTACTTCTTGGAAATCTTCGCGCTTCTTTAAAGATTCTAGGTAATGGAGGGCATTTGAGTAGTTCATACAATACCGCTGGTACGGCGGACACACATGACTATCAAACTAAAATAAGAAATATTTAAATCATCATAATTAATCATCCTTATAAATGTTTATGGTATATATTGAGAACAATAAATAATAAGGAAAATATGTACTTTATAAACAAAAATATATTCAGATTGAAATATTTTAATGAATTCTATAATAAATTAAAATTAATTTACTATTCTTCTGTCTATTCGAACCAATAGGGAATCATCACCACATAGAGGCTGAGTGAATTATTATTATTAATATTATTATTACTATTACTATTATTATTATTATTATTATTATTATTATTATTATTATTACTATTATTATTATTATTATTATTATTATTATTATTACTATTTTTATTATTAATATATAAACGTACATTCAGAAAGCAACAAATAAGTAAACATAAAGATACCTATAAATATACCAGTTATAATAGGCCTATGGGAAAGCCACATTTGACAAACAACTATAGTCAGAGAAATGTCAATGCAGTATTAGCTAATAATTATTATTTTTTTCGTATGCTTTCAGTTAAATGGTCATTCGTAAAAACAAGTGAATTTGCATTTTTTTGCGTAATATTTTAAGAACGCCACACCGTTATTTTAATCCCGTTATTACTGAATATTAGAAGGGTATCTGCTGAATATAATGTTGGCTAATATGTGCTGTTGTGACGCAAACACGTCGAATACACTCAATCAGTCGTTCATTGTGTAGGAGGCACTATAGCAGATTCTAACAGCGATCTTGTTAGGCCTAATCCATCATTAAAGCACATAAGAATGGACTTTTGGAACGATGGATTGGATATAGTAAATGTGATTGTTTTGCAATTTCATTTCAAAGAAGGAGAACATTCATAGCTGGAAATAACGTTATTTTAAAAAAAAATTTGAGACATACCGGTATCGGATCAAGTCATAATCGGAGTTCGTTGACTTTTGTTTCATTCTTATTCAATTGTTAGTTTCAATTAAATTATATAGGCCTAGGTAGTAAGAGACAGTATATATATCGCTATGATCATTTCTGGCTCTTGATATTATCAATTCTGAAAACCTTTTACTGCAGTATATGCTTATGCAAATTCATAGAAATGTTTTTGCCCATACGTAACCTCAATTGTAAGGTGTATGTCTTGATAGTGCATTAAGCGTATGTCGTGTAATTTTATACGTCAGTAGTTTAAAATATAATGATAAAGACAATCTTTGCTAATGGGTTTAGCAAAATGGTTGCTATCTTAGTAAATTCATTTTGCATAGTATAGTAGCATAGGTTGTAGGCGTTGAATACAAGACGCAGACTTTTCGTGTCTTACCATTGAAAATGCCGAAACGACCCAATCTGGCTGACCAAACTCTGTTTTTGTTATCCTCTTCCTTAAAATCATAAACAAATCACTACAGAAAGATTCGCTCACCTGAAAGAGATAGATGGTTATAAATAATATAACTGTCAATTCACTAAAGTTAAAAAATTAATTAATCAGTTAATTAATTTATTTTTGAGTAAGGAACCTTAAATCCTCTTCCTTAAAATCATAAACAAATCACTACAGAAAGATTCGTTCACCTGAAAGATATAGGTGGTTATAAATAATATAACTGTCAATTCACTAAAGTTAAAAAATTAATTAATCAGTTAATTAATTTATTTTTTAGTAAGGAACCTTAAATCCTCTTCCTTAAAATCATAAACAAATCACAACAGAAAGATTCGTTCACCTGAAAGATATAGGTGGTTATAAATAATATAACTGTCAATTCACTAAAGTTAAACAATTAATTAATCAGTTAATTAATTTATTTTTGAGTAAGGAACCTTAAATCCTCTTCCTTAAAATCATAAACAAATCACTACAGAAAGATTCGTTCACCTGAAAGAGATAGATGGTTATAAATAATATAACTGTCAATTCACTAAAGTTAAACAATTAATTAATCAGTTAATTAATTTATTTTTGCATATTGTCATGAATATTTTAGGCAGAAATGACGATAATGATAATGACGTATTCGTTGTCGTTTTCGTAAGGTTGCGAAATCTGACTAATGTTATAGCCTAACGTTTAGGAGCGATGCTAATGAAAACCTTATCACTGAAAGCATTACATGATGAAGACGTCTAAGAAACTTACAGATGGAATTTGTACACATAAATACAACCACAATCTATCCAAGCCCTAGAAACAACCGATGGATTCACAAAATCTGAAAATATTGCTAACCGTATAACAATAATATTAAACATTGTTTGGAGACTGTAAACGTCCTTTTTGTGCCTTTACAACATGTCCAAATAATTGCTTTCAACCGGAGCTCCGAAGAGAAACACAATAATTTGATAGTGTTCTTTTATCTTATGGTATTTACATCTTTCGATTTGAGTGGTAATTTTAGACGAAACATATCTGAAACATGGTGCAAAAGGTATCGATTTCATTCATCTTGCTATATAGGCTTGCTGCACTTTAAAATAAAGTGGAAACATCTTCAATATTATTAATAGAGTATGGTATGGCTCATTGCATTAATATATCTCTCTATAAAAATTGATCATCTGACAGCTAATCACGTGATGTGCTTTATCCAATGAGATTATTGAAAATAAATATATCCATTGCCATGTAGATTGCACATCTGTTCTCGGCGTGCCATAAAATTATACGATTGGTACGTTGTCTCATTAATTATCTAAATAAATTACCTGGTAGTTTCAAAATCGTATGTTTATTTTGAAAGTCAGAGCTTAATAAACAAATAAAGCGATGTGTCTGTGTTTGTGTTTGTTATAGGCCTATATACCGTAAAGAATAATAGAGCTAAATGACGCTTTATAATATGCGGATGATTATATTATTCAAACTAATTAAATTCTTCCTTGCTATTAATAGGCCTAATTCTCTTTTAATCTATTTCTGGATAAAAAAAACATATTTAAAAAATGCATCTTAAACATACAATTGTCAGTAACTCTAGTAGCCTCTGACTTAACCTTCAACATAGACATGTGCACATAAAACTAAAAGATGGCTTATCTATCGTCAACGACCAATCAATCAGAGAGAGGTATGCCAAGGGTTAGAAAGAGGTACTCCAAGGTTAGAAATATGCGCATGCCCCATAGTACGATTACGCTGTCGTTTTGTAGGACTTTAGCAATGATATCCAACATGCAGGGAAAAGCGGAACAAATTCATGCCTAGTAGTCGCTTACCTGACATAGAACATCAAGGTTTGCAAATAACTTGGCTGGCTCGACGTACATTAAGTGATTCTCACACTGAACTGCTTTTAATGTTTCTTGAAATACCTACAAATGTTAAACATTTTGGATCCTTGTTCAGAGACAAATAAGTAATAATGATTAAAATACGAAGTTCATTTATTTTATTGCCATATGTATATATATATTGTGTGTGTGGTACGAAACTAAGTAGGCTAGTAATAAAATGTCTAATCAAAGCTACTGTTGAACCTCGCTTTATATATATATATA